AGCGGTGGTGGTTTGGCGGTTTGGTTGGATGTGGGTTTGTGTGTTGTTTGGTTTGGTTGTGGCAGGGATGACTTGTAGCCGCGTAACCGACGGGACACCTGCCATGTAAAGCCCTCGGGATTTGCCATGCGGGAGCCAATTATTTTTCATAGAAAGGCTGTTGCTTTTTTTTGGCATGTCTTCGCAATCGACCAGGCACAAAATCAAAAGTGATCCAAAAAGCTACATGCGTCCTTTAACCTTTTGTTTCCTCCATCCATCTGTCATACTCTCTCTCTCTCTCTCTCTCTCTCCTCGCGTTCCCTCCCTTTCTCCACCTGCATAAACATGATGACACCATGGCTACGATGCATCACCGTCCTGCTTCTCCAAAGGAGTGATAAAACGGACCAGAAGCACGGTTCCCTGTCGACGCGGCAGCAGCTAATGAACTCTCAAGCAGCCGTGGAGAACGCACGAAAACGTGCTCAATATCAGAGACAGGCCCGATCGGGTAGGTCTGCATCACTGGCTTCAAGTCAGACGATCATAAGTTGTCCAGCTGTGAATTCCCCTCTGTTGTATCAAATGCCAAAAACTTCCCGGTCCAGGCAAGCTTGCACATTCAGAAGGTCACCAACAATCGCGCCATTGATATACAGGCGTTGCGACACTTCCACCTCTTTTTCCTGCCTCTGGGCTATGTGCCCAGTTCGCCGGTGTTCAAGCAGCACCTCAGCATCGCCTACATCGAAGATGCGAGGGGGGAGGAGCAGACCGATGCCTCGGAATCCCAGGACCAAGCCCTCACCACCAAAGGCGGGAAGAAACAGAACCACACAATTTCGAGAAGGATGCAAGACCTAGGTCCTAGGTCTCCCTGAGCTTTAAAAGAGATTTCTGAAAGGAAGCATGCTTGTTCTTCGCTGAGGGCCGGGGAGTGCCATGAACAACGAGCAGAGAGCCTTGCTGCTTGCCGTCTTTCGCAAGTCCATCAAGAAGGTGCTCGGGTTTCAAGTCTCATGTAGCAGAAGCAGCACATGGGATGATGTCTCGGCAACTGTTTGTGGACATGTAGTATTCCTTTACCTTCTAGCTACTACATACCCCCCACTGACCACTGCCACTGCTACCACCACGACGCGGCCGACCACCACCACTGCCACAGAAGCCGCTGTGTAGGAGCGGTAATGTAGCTTTGACAGCTAAGGTGACAGCGAAGGGAGGGAAAGCGGCACTGATGAACAGGTCGGCATGCGAACATTCTCATATTGAAGCAAGCACTGAGATGCCAGCTGCCTTCTATGCGGATTTTTGTTGGTGATGCTGTGATGGCAATGACACTCTGACCTGTCAGGTGGACGTGGTTCCGGTTTTTGATTCACTGTGACTTGATCGGACCGGCTGATTCATGGGATCACCGCAAAGCAGAGGAGTTGATGCTTGGTTCAGTCGCTGCTGTTGCATTGGCGCAGCATGGCGATCTGACATAAGTGACATACTCGTAGCTCAGCCACATCAGCTGGCGCTTGATGTTGTGGGGCAGCCAAGGAAAGTACCGTGGGTGCTGGCGGGGAAGATTTTCAAGCTCTGCCAAGAAGCCAACTCGAATCCGCCGGCCCTTTCTTTTGGCAGCTGGGCAAATGCCCTCCAAGCCGTACTCCGCTCCAGCGGCCTCTACGCAAAAGGTCCGGAGATTGTGGAGGCCATTTTCAAAACCTTCCTACCCCGTGCGCAAGAGCAGCTTGGCATCACCGATGATGATGCGCAGAAAACGGTGACGAAAGCCATGCAAGGCCGGTAACATGGAAAAAGAGCATAAGCCGCCTGAGCTTGGCATGAGCAAAAATTAGGTTTTAGAGCTGGTATGATGCGATGCTGCAAGGAGAGCGCAAGAAGTCGATGCATGGAAGTCACTTGTTTTGCAGGTATTACAATAATTCCGTTGAACGTCATGGCAATCTCAAGGCAGGCTTTCATAATGAACTGTTCCTTGTAAGGTCAGCGGGCCATGTCAATGTCGCGGTCGATGTCCAGGAATATGTCGCTTGGACGAGCCGCAAGTAACCACTACCACGTGCTGTGAGGGAGGGCATTTTGATCTACGGTAGCTAGGTCAGACTCGTAACGGAGCATGCTTCAAGAAGTTTCAAGCACCCCACCTGACATGAACTGCCAAGTTCGCGCTTCAGTGTGCTTCAGGTCTCGCAGTGCCTCGAGGGCCCTGAGCTTCTTCAGCGCCGCTGGCTCCACGATTGGCGATGACCGCCGGCTGCAATAGACGGGAACGTATAGTGACGACAGGGCAAACTCGGATGTAACGAGGCCGCCCGGTCATTATTGTACTGGCACTTCCGATTCTCGACCGTTAACACAGAACCGCCGTCTGCAGGATCAGAGTGAGGCGGGCGATCCTCCTGATAGCAAGCTGCCGCAGACTTGGCAACTGAATCTGGCGGAGCAGCAGATCCACGGCTTTCCATTTATTGCATGTTTCATCGTAACAGCATGTCAAGACGATGCCGCTGACTTCAGGATGTGCGAGCCAGAGTGTTTGCAACTGCTGCACGAGTACAAGGCACTCCTGCAGGCCATGCCGATCTTCAAACTACCTACTGTAGGTCCCCATCCGTACATACCTGAAAGCGTGGGACATCAATGGCCTCATCGTTACTACTCTGCGCTGTGCGGTCAGACACAAGCAAGGATCAGCACACTCACCGGTTTCCTTGTTTGGCATAAACCGAAACAAGCTATATTAAGTCTTAGAGGCATGCTGGGGCCCACAGCTCATGGAATGCTGCTGGACCGGAAATGCCAGAGGCATCAGTGCATTGTAGCGGAACAACATTCGTCAGCCCTTTCGCTCTCTTTGGCTCGGGTGCCCGGGTGGGAGTGCAGGCGTGCGAGCTCAGAGTCCGATTCCCCACCTGCCGTAGATGGTTTTAAGCTGTGTAAGTAAAACGCAGAAGCTCCACACCCGAACCTCTAAAACCGACACTATGTGGAGCCTTGCCTGCCTTGTGCAAGAGTGAGAGTCGAATCCCGACAACCCTGAACCATGCTGAACCAGAAAGCCCTAGAAGCCATAAGCCCTCCATGAAACTCGAAAACTCCCAAACCCTACACCCGCTCGTCCTTGCTATGTAGGAGGGACAAAACCCAGAGCCACGATGTCAACTGTTCTCTTGACTGTACCCTGCAATGCGGCTCGTCCTAGCTAGCAGGTTCCTGCATGTGTCTTCCAATCCCAAAGGTACAGAACCCCCTTTCCGCATCGTGCGGCCTCTGTGTTTCAGCTTCTTGCCTCTGTTGTAGGCGAGACTTCATGTTTTGCCGGTGAGGGAAAATAATGATCCTTTGGGAGGGGTTCACAATGATGAGCAGAGACACGCTGCTCTCTCGGCATACAGTCGAGCTTTCAAACTTGGGCGTCACCCCTTGCACTTTCGCAAGGAGCGGATAATTTCCTTTGCTAGGTTTCGTCGAGAAGCAGCAGAGGTTGCTGAGGGCTTGAAAGATGCTGCAAGAGCCCGGACATATTCAGTAATGGTTATTATATGGCGACGGGTCGCAAGACGTTGGGTTTCAGGCTCATGAGTACTAGTAAAAGTAACATCCTCCCAAAAACCCACCCGTCCCTTGAAAAGGTTGCATGGTTAAGGCCCTTCGTCACGCACGATGCTTCGGAAATTCATGACAGTCCCATTGAAGAGAGGCATTCCTGGCGATCGATAGAGCTGCCCATCGCTTTTTGCGCTCGGGTGAGCTGCTTCTTGTGCAGTTGTGTGCATATGCACACTGTGTACTCGTGCGTAAGCGTGCGTAAGCTGCGTGAGCGTGGGTGGGTGTGTGGGTGGGTGGCTGCGGGTGGCTGCGGGTGGCTGCGGGTGGCTGCGGATGGCTGCGGGTGGCTGCGGGTGGCTGCGGGTGGCTGCGGGTGGCTGCGGGTGGCTGCGGGTGGCTGCGGGCGGGTGGGTGGGTGGGTGGTGAGTGGGTGAGTGGGTGGGTGGGCGGGTGGGCGGGTGGATGGTGGATGGTGGATTGATGGGTGGGTAGGTGTACGTTGTCGAGTGCGAGTGCCAAAAATTATGTGCGTGTGTGTATGTGTATATGTGTTGCGACTCTGTTACTGAGCCAGTCTGATAATCTCTACATGAAAATCAACTCGGAGTGCATGTGGCAGGCATTGTTCCAGCACTACGTGCAAGAGGATTTCAATGATCCTGACAACGAACCCTTGATGGGCCCGGTCCTGTTCCAGAAGTTATTGAAAGACCTGCAATTCTTGCCGGACTTCGTGCAGACCTTCGCCCTCGAGAAACACATGCTGGAGTGCGAGTCGAGGTACGGCCAGGAGTCCCTTAACTTCAATGCCTTTGTGGAGTGCCTTTGCAGATTGTGCTTTTGTCATCTGAACATCTATGGTAGCAGCATGCAACAACTGGCACCTTCCAAGCAGAAGATGCTTTGGGTAATGGCCATGCTGGAAGCTCGCCTCCCCCCGGAGCTGGGAGGACGACCTGAAGGGGACCAGTCACCCAGGGGCCCTGACTGTCTCTGGCACCGTAGGAATGAGACTTTCGACATTTCGGCTTGCCCACAAGAAGCCATCATCTTCTTCAAGACCATGGGTGGGGTGGCAAAACCCCGGACTGAGCTGAACTTCGAGAGGCTACAGAGCTGTGACGTGGAGGACCTGTACCCACAGAGCCCGTTTCGACGCTGACTTGGAAGTAGCGCCTTCGGCTTGTGCCTCACAGCGTCCGCCGACCTTGTGCCAGTTCTCGTTGTGCATATGCCACGCCCGATTCTTTTTATGCTTTTGAGCATGGGTAGTTGCTTGTCATTGGCAAGCTTTCCCATGAACCTTTGCAGCACCGGTCTGGACTAGATTCTTAGACTCAGACTAGATAGTTAGAAATCTCAAGGAGCATCCTCCGCAGCAGTCGAGTCTCTTGTGAAAACATGCTGCAGAGGAAAGCTAGGTAGTGCCGCAGCTCACTCCAAATGGAGTCTGAAGCTAGACAGAAAGCGGGAGTATGGCCTTAGGAGTGAGCGGGTTGGATGTACATCGGTCATCACTCCCTAGGCATCGAAGATTCGCAGGAAGACGGTTGTTCGGCTGTTTCAGCTTCATTTTGAGCCATCAGCCTCCCCTTTCGTGTCCGCACGTGTTGTGGCCCAGAGAATTGCAAAGCAAGCTTCTTACGAGCCATGAGCAGGTTTTGGAAGCGGCCCCGTCAGCAAGAAGACTGCAGGGCCCTGATTTGCTCACGAGAGCGGGAAAATTCGGAAGGGCTGGGTTTGGTGCCGAGCGTCATCAGCCGTGACAGAAGCCAGTCGAGATTGCTGCGTTATAACCAGTATGGGTTGCTGGCACCCTGGGGTCCAGTCTGCCTCCAGGCGGTGCATGACTCAAAAACCCTAGTTTTGCAATTCCTGCCAGAGGAGCACAGACAAAGGTCCATGGTAAGCCCACACGCCAAGTTTGATGAAACTCACTCTCGAATATCGCCATATAGTTGCTGAATCCATGGCCGCCGGCGTATGGTTTCGGAAATGCCTGCGCCTTCACGACAACGAGCCGTTGGTGAAGGCTTATTTGAGCAGAAAGTCGTACAGTGTCGGCAGCTGCAGTTATGTAGAGCGAATAGTTGAACCAGCACAAGCCAGTGACTTTGTCTGCAAGATGTCATCTTCAGCATCCATCAGCATCCGCGAACTTGAACTGTCGGATCGCAGGCCGTGGCCAGTGGATTGGATGTGGTTCCGTTTTTCATCCTCGACCCGCACTTCGACAAGAGCCGTGTCGGGGTCAATAGGCCGCCCCGTCGTGAGTTGCGTTGTTTCTTCTGATGCTGCCTCCTGGCGGCTGTGCAGCAGGTTCAGCTTTCTTTTGCAGAGCTTGAAGGACTGCTTCCCCGTGGCCGTATTCTCATCAGTGAATGTGTGTGGCTGGTTGGCTGCCTGCCCGATTGTTTCTCTAACATCTGTCGAATCGTTCACATTCGTGGTTTAACAGCCTGTGTCTTAGCGTTGGCTTGTGTAGATCTGTTTGCTTGGCAGATGCAGGTCTGTTCGGGCGCACGATGTGGGTGGGTGGGTGGGCCATCCTCGGACTGTGTGGGAGGCACTGCCAAGTGCCAAGTCAGAGTTCCGCATCTTTCGGCGGAGGGAATGCCTCGGGCAGACTGGGGCTGAGCGCGGGGGCCCGTCTGGTGAGGTCCTCCCTCGACCCCACCGGCTGCACTGGCAAAGTTTGATGTTACCTCGTGCTCCACTCGCACAAGGACCTCGACGGGCAGCTTCGCAGACGCGGCAGCCGTCTACTTGTATTCCGAGGCCAATGCGATAGTGGCACCTCGAGATGGCAAATGCCACTGAAGAAGCCAAAACTGCACGGAACAGGCCGCAGTTCAAGAAACCTCCCAGCAGCATTGGCAGGCCAGCCAGAACAAGTGCTCGTGGAGCTCTTCGGCGGGAAGGTCGGACGAAAGTGGTACGCTTTGCATAACCTTCCGAGTTCTTGCCACAACTCTTCCAGGGCCTGGTCAGGTATACAGTAATCATACGCATTCACGCTTGCATTGGCTTGCATGCTTCCCTCAGGCTCCCGTCCACCTGTCGGCCATCTTCTGGGAGGTCTTGGAGATGTCTGCTTTCGGTAGAATCTGGCCACAGTTAGGTTGATTACGCAACTGCATTGAGAGACTACATGTGGAGCGATGGATGGATCGAGCCAGTCGACGAAGCTCACTGAGCATTTCTGCTGATTGCTTGCATCGAGGCAGATACAGAGCCGTATGCGCGTGCTCGCGATGAGCGTGTGCTTGCCATGGCGAAGGCAGACCGAACAGAAGTTTTACGCGACCTGGTTGATGGCATTGAGACAGGGGCTGGGATGAAAGCCACAAGATCTTCACAAAGCTAGTCTTTAATGCATCTGCCAGTCGGAAGTTGCTTGCGCGAGGAGGGAGGAGTGCACGCAGACGCTTGGATGCGCTCGGCGATGAACTCCTTGGTAGGTTCAAGATGCAGAGTGACGGTGCTGATTAAGATTAACCTTTGTGGCCAGTGCTTTCTCTCTGCAGCCCTCAGCCGGCTGGTTGAGGAAAAGCTTTCTGGGCACACACTGTTGGACATCGATGCTACAGTCGCGAAGCCGGGCTTTAAGCCTCCGATTTCCATGAAGAGCATTCAGACGGCAACTTGGCCGGGTCTGGATTGAATCCTTTCAGTCAGTGCTGCAAGATCCACCTGACTACAGCAACAGATTGTGAATGCGGTGGGACCCTTCCGCCAACCCTTTGACGTGCCGAAAATTCCACCTCTGAGAATCGAAGGACACACTGATCCGCAAGCAAGCTGCCAGTCTCAGAAGCAGGACAAGCAGTGCTGTCAGTGCTCGCAGATGCTGTATGACAGGACACAACGTACCGGATATCTCCGAACTGTATGATGAAGAGCCAAGCAGCCACGGATTTCCAGGCCAAAACCCTCGGATCCTGTGCCGTTGTTCAGCATGACAGCTAGGCAGAAGCGAGTGTTCAAGATGCTTCTCCGCAAAATTCGTGCAGTCGATTGCGCACCTGGGAAGCGCACAGCGTGTCCTGCATGATATGATACAATATACTACACTATGGCATAATACAGTATATAAGATACTATAATATACATGATCTCTGTAATGTGATGTGTGTAATGTGACTGACGTACTATAATAATCTGCGATAATTTGCCAAAATACAATATACAAGAGCAACTTAAGACAGACTATAGATAATGTGTTGCAATGTACTGTATGTGCCACAATATGCCATAGTATACTATAGTATGCTATAATGTACTATAAGGTCTACAATATATCACTGTATATTGTAGTATATACTATACCATACCAGAATGTACTGGAATGTAGATTGTAATGTATCGTACTATAACATCCTATAATGTACTCTGATGCACCATGCTGCACAATAACATGTCATAATACAGTATCATGTGCCACCATGTGTTATAATGTCCCGCGCAACAAACTACAGAATGCTAGAATGTACGAGATGTTCCATATATTCTAATATGGGAGTTTCCGAAAATTAGGGTACCTTATTTTGGGGTCCTTATATTAAGGATCCTACTATTCAGGGTTCTATGTTAGGGTCCCCCTATTTTCGGAAGCCCCCCCCATATTTGTCAGGTGGCGAGACCGAGGCCCTGGCCAGGCTTCAGCGTACCTGCTCAGATGTGCAATATGCCACCGGGCTGAGGACAAAGCATGAACCGGGTTTGGCTAAACTACCAGTAGCAGTAGGAGCAGGAGGAGTAGCATTCGTAGTAGAAGTAGTAGTAGGAGTAGCAATAGTACTAACAAAGATACTAACAATAATAATGCTGATAGCAGAAGAAGAGTATCCTCATCTGGCAGTTTCCTCCGGGACGCTAGCTCGTGTTTGACATAAGTTGTAGACTCGAATCAACCCGGAGATTTTGCGGCAAGGTTTGCTGCTTCGAGAAGCCGAAGACAGCCTCTACCGGCCGACCGGCTTGTCCTTGGGAGCCCTCCACCACAGGCGCCTCTTTGGCACTTGGCACCTTGGATTAGGGAGAACCGGGCTTTGTTGCAGTGAAGACAGCTCAGAAGTCTACGAGTTTGCGCTGCCAGGTGCAATTCTAGAGTGTTCCCGACTTGCCAGGTCTCTCGCCCTACTTGAAGTTCGGTTGCCTCTCGGTGCGGACGGCCTGGTATGCCATCGACCGCTGCATTCGTGGCAAGAGCCACTCTCAGCCCCCGCAGTCTTTGCACGGCCAGCCGCTCGTCGACCCCGAGCCCAGCTATTAAAAAGTTGCGTCTGTGGTCTTCAAAACCTGCATCCCAGGCTGCTTTTCCGCGAGATGTTCTACTTGCTTGGTGCAGCTGTGCCAAACTTCGATCGCAATGAGGGGCTCCTTGTCGATGCTCAGATCCGGAAATCACTTGGCTTTTGGCGTCAGCTCATTGGACTTTAGCACAGCAGTTGAGCGCCAGTAGAGTAAGCGAGCAAGTCCTACTAAGCCTTCCAGCCTCTTGCTGGCGCTACTTCAGGAATTCCATGTGCAAAACGATTCCTTGGGGCTGCGATGAAAGTCTTCTTGCTGCATGGGAGGCCACCTGACTCCAAGTTTAGCAGTTCCCAATTTGTTGTGGCATGCACATTCACCAGTTCCAAGCCAGGGCAAACTTGCTTTCCAGGCCGGCAAGACAGGATACCCATTCATCGATGCTTTGATGCGACAGCTCAAACAAACAGGCTCGTTTAGTTCAGGAAGCCAGTAACACTAAATCGTCTAGGAGTAGTTGGGCAGATGGCAGATGACAGGCTTTATGCATCATCTGGGACGCCATGCCGTAGCCTGCTTCTTAACACGAGGAGCGGGACGGAGCCAACTTGAGTGGCGGCCAGCGATGTTGTGACTATTGTGGCGCAGGAGACCTCTGGCAGAATTGGACAGCTGGCCGCGATGTATTCGACAGGCTTCTGCTGGACGCAGACTGGGCTGTCAATAACGGCAGCTTGGATACACATATATACATGTATGTATGTATGTATGTATGTATGTATGTATGTATGTATGTATATATATATATGTATGTATGTGTGTGTGCGCAGTACATGGCAGGCCCTGCATGTCTCATCGTATTATTGTGCTTGTATGCATCTGCTTGCATTATGTATGCATGCATGTATGTCTTCGGGGGAGTCCGTCGGCACACGCGGCATACACATGTGCACAAGTCACGCTGGCATCTAAGGATCTACGAACTTTCGCTACACTAAAGCTGCTGAAGTTGTAACTGCGGTGCAAACTTGAGCTGAGGCAACTGGCTTTGGCTGGCAGGCACGACACGACTCGTAGAGTCGTAGGACGGGATGAAAGCCATCTGCTTGTGGCTAGTGACTTGTGAAGGTGTTGCGCCGTTCTCGGCGCCTTACTTCCGAATCTACGACCCTCGGAACACCTTTTGCCGCATATCCATGTTGAGCCTCAGCTGTGGCGGTATCGCATGAGCATCTCGCTCTGAGGATCCTTGTCCGGGCCCGAAATCAAGCTTGAATGCTGACCAGACTGGAGAGTTCGTGAAGCATTACGTGGGCAGCTTAGCTTCTACCCGGCTGGAAAGGGCTTATGTTTTCTATACACCCCGGCGCTCGGCCCAGGTGCCAGAGCTCAGGAACATGCCGGCCAAGTACTTGTGTAGCTTTGCCAGCAGAAGCTCGAACCGCGGAGCCTGTTCAGCACTTGCATCTCCGCGCTGCCAAGACAAACCGTGGACTGCACCGGTGGCAGAACAAAAGAAAGCTGGCTGCATCATTGGAGAGGTGGGGTGGACCGCAGGATTTCACCTGTTTGAGCTCCTACCGAACCAAAACTGCCAGGACTACCCGAAGCCCATTGTTGATCACCAGCGAGCCCGGGAGGAAGCCGGAGTGCTCATGCTTGCTTGCCATGGACTCCGTATGGATTCGCTGTACTGCAGGTGGATGCCTTGCAAGTCGGATCTCGAATGACAATCATCACTTTCCTGATATGATGGCACAGAGCATGTCAACTAGTCCAGGAGAATTTGGCCAAGTTCAAGGCAGCACTGGATGCAAAGGGCGGGGAACTACCGGCCAAGTTTGGTGGCGCAAAGGGCCGCTCAATTGCTCAAGTCCCAACTGTTTCGCAAGAAGCCGCATCAGTCGTGTGTATATTTGCAGATGCAGTATGGTGACCGAAGTGGCAGTAGTCGGAGTCGTAGTGTGTCGCCAGCTCAGCTAATCATCGTGGCGGCAAGTACCGTGCTAGTTTACCTTTGGAGGCCAAGAGTGCAAGATTGCTTGCAATCCTGCTGGCGCCCCTTGCCCCACTTGCTCGCCGACTCTACTTTTTGGAGATTAAGATTGCAAAATTGCTTTGCAATCTTGGTCGAAATCTGGGTCCAAAGGGTAAACTAGTCCGCGTAGTAGTAGTCGTCGTCGTCGTAGTAGTAGTAGTAGCAGTAGCAGCAAAAGAAGCAGTAGCAGCAGCAG